AACACAGAGGGCACAGCTACAAGTCAGACAAGTTAGAAATTATCAAAATTGTTATTTTCTGTCGTTCCTGGTTGCACGCATTTATTTTATTCAGGGACTATTGTTGCTGGGCTGTCAGAGAGCATTGTCTGAGGTTATATGGAAAGAGAGATGTGTTGAATACCTTTTAGTAGGTATTATCTGTCTGGGGCCAACATTTGAATCCTGCTTTTCCATAAACAGGAAGCAATTTTAAATCTTGATAGCATGCTGCCATCAAAGAGAATTTTAATGAATTGAGGGCTCTGATCATTTCAAGTGCAACAAACGTGTCCAAGCAGCCTCCCCTTGCACTGAAATCACACTCATGCTAAGTCTGGTTACTTTTTCTGAGTCAATGAAACACCTCCAAGGATGGAAGTAGAAATTATCTTTCTAGGGATTGTGACTAAGTTTCAGTTGTGTTATAGGAAAGGGGTCCCAATCCAGACCCCAAGAGAGAATTCTTGGATGTCGTGCAAGAAGGAATTCAGGTCAAGTCCGCAGTGCAAAGCAAGAGCCAGTTTACTAAGAAAGTGGAGAAAGTACAGCTACTCCCATAGACAGTAGGGTGTCCCCCAAAGTCAGTGGAGGAACATGTCCACCCCTAGGTATAATACTTGTTTATACAGGATAAAAAATATCACGGGGAAATGTGCTCGGCTACAAGGGTTTGTGGTAAAGGATTAATTTTCTTAATCACTACGTTTTGCAAAAAATCGATATGATCTTTAAAGCAAAATTAGGAATGCTTCTGTTCAATATATCGGGACATCAGGGCACTCCCAAGTCTGGGACTGTTTAGTAAACATTATCAGTCTGTTCCATTAACCTTAAACATCTAGAGGCTAGGAATACCTAACTTTCTGGGAATGCGGTCCAGCAGGTCCCAGCCTCATTTTTCCTAGCCCTCACTCAAGATGGAGTTGCTCTGGTTTGAACGCCTGTGACAGTTTTGCCCCTCGCGTGCTGTTTATCTGCAAATTCTGGGCAGGTCACTTTGTATACAGGACAGTATTATGGAAGGTGGACAGTGAAGAGGAGGTGGCTTCACCATCCCAGAAGGAAGGAGGCAAACACTGGCTAACCACCGACAAGGTGTCTAGACGCAGTATTACGTATCTGCTACCTGCTTGGTGCCAGTTCCTCATCCTAATGGATGAGCAGAACAAACGGCCATCACCACCGTTATGGAGCTGGCATGCACGCACCAGTGAGAGTCCTTCTGCATTTCTGTGACCCAAGCTAATGATTTTTACACGAATCAGGGGAGGACCAGGGCAGCCCTCTTTAGAAGAAAATTCCCCCCAAAAAAAAAATTGAAAGAAAGGACTGCAATGAAGGCAGGAATGAATAAAGAAATGAAGAGAGAAGAGAGGAAGAAAGAGGGAGGGGAGAAGGGAAAAGAAGGGCGCAAGGACAGGAGGAAGGGAGGAAAAGAGGGAGCAAGAAGGAAGGAAAAAATAAAGAAAGGAGCGAGTGTAATAAAGGAACAGAAGAAAGGCAGTATGATCGAGGAGCGTTTTTCTAACCAGACATTTCACTAAAGGGTACCTTGGCCAGCCCTAGATTAACGAGAAAGACAAAACTGAAAATACCTTCCACCCAGGACCCTTGAATTCTCCAGCCCTTTCTCCATGAAGCCTCTGGTCCAAAGCAGACCTGTGGAACCCTTTTGTTTTGCCCAGGGTTATTTGGCCTTCCAGGAAGACCCTATTTAAGCCAGGAATTGATTTATAGTCCTTCCCACTGTTCCTTTCACAAAATAAGAAGTCCCCCAGTGTGCCCTGCTTGGGGGAACCCGAAGACCCTCCTAGGAAGATTTGTAAATATCCTGCGTCAGGAAATCCATTTTCTCCCTGTAACAAAGAGGGCACAAAATGGAATCCTGGCTCCATGCTTTTAACAGCACGTGCTCCCCTCTCTATTGCCAAGTTTCTGTTTCATGGTATATCTCAACATCTAAATCCTGCAAGAATTATTGTAAAACCTGCTTGTGGCTGAGAGGGAGCTTGTCTGGCTCACTGGGCTCCGTAGCCAGTGATAATGAATGGGTCAGCATAATTACCGTGTTCCCTCACACAGGCTGCCAGCTGCTCTGCCAGATTGTGAATTTTTCATTTTCTTTATTTCAAAATCCAGGGTGCTCCTCTGAAAACTTAATAGTTGAACTGTAGCAAGACAGATTTGGAGTCAAAGCCATTCTCACTCATTTTTCTCCCAGTCCTGAAACAAGTGTCTCATCTCTCATTACTTCCGGGCTTTTATGATATTAGGATTTACTGGCGCTCCCCATTAAAACCCAACACCTCTCTGCAGTTCCAAGCATACCAGTAGCCATGTGATCCAGGAAACTCAGGTGCTAGGAGCTGGCAAACAAATTTAAATAAAACAGCATTTCTGTCTTTAGCAAGAATAAAAGAGTTAAAAATAACCTTTATGGTCTTCTCAGATACAAACAGAAAGACAGCATCATTCTCGATTCTGCAGTCCTCATATTTTACCCACATCGTGGTAGAAAGTCACAGTAGAATCCATAAAATAGGAAGGCTGTTGGATTTTTAAAAACATACAGATTTCCAAATAATAGCCAGTTGGTCTTCACGTTAGTCGGGTTCAAGGGTTTTATTTGGGCCCTTACAATTGCATCAGTAATTCGGAGTGGCTTCTATATAAAACCCCACCCATTCCCTTCACCCACCACGTAGGTACAGACATGCTGTATCTATGCATGTAGGCGTAATTCTTTCAGGTCTACGTTCACTCTGTGGCCACCCCGTCCAACCTCCTCATTAGCAGCTGGGACCTCTTTTGAGGCTCCCCATGCACATTTTTTTCCAACTCTTTTCCCTGCTTCCTCCTTCTACAACACACACCTGGGTCCATGCATCCGTGCACGTGGAAGGGACTCTAAATGACAGGAAGACATGAGGGGGAACACTTCTGCTCCTAAAGCCCATGGTGGGAAAGGGAGAGCTCTTCTTGGCAGTTTGGATAGAGGGTGGAGACAAGTTTAACATTAAACAAACCACAACCCCGGCCTCATCTGAGGTTCGCTCTTCTGCGGAAAGCCTGGGAAAGGAGTTGGTTGTGCTGGGTTAACTAAGAGCGCTTCCTTCATGGTGGGCCTTCTGAGCCTTCACCGTGGCTCTCCTTGGGACAGGGACTTCCCAAAGGCATTTTGTCAGAAAAGCATCCTCTTTGTACACGGTTTGGGAAACACTGCCTATTGCTTAGTCGGATGGGACAAGAGTGGTCCGTATGGTGAGAGGACTGGCAGGGTCAGAGAAGTGAACTGAGCTTGAAGGCAAAAGTGATTTCCTGGCCCATGGGCCAGGAAATGAGTTGGGATTTCCCTGAGATGCGAGGAAGGCCATCCCAGGTAGAGGAAACAGCATTAGTTATCAGGGGCTGGGGTAATCATCAGGCTTAATTCCCTCCTTAACTCCTCACCTCCTCATCCTGCTCAGACAATTCTCCCCCAGGGAAGAAATCCTTTTTTTTTTTTTCTTTTTCTTTTTTTGAGATGGAATCTCACTCTATTTCCCAGGCTGGAAGGCAGTGGTGCCATCTCAGCTCACTGCAACCTGTGCCTCCCAGGTTCAAGCAATTCTCCTGCCTCAGCCTCCCAAGTAGCTGGGACTGCAGGCAGGTACCACCATGCCCAGCCTAAATTTTGTATTTTTAGTAGAGATGGGTGTTTCACCATATTGGCCAGGCTGGTCTCAAACTCCTGACCTTGTGATCCACTCACCTCAGCTTCCCAAAGTGCTGGGATTGATGCACCGCACCTGGCCACCACATTCTCTTTTTAAGAGTCGGGATCCCAGACTTCTCCCGTATTTATAATTATGGTGGTTGCCTTTGCCTTTAAATGCTGCCCAAGAGTTTAGCAGGCTTATGAGATACTGGTAATGAGTTATTTCTCAGGGCATATGTGCTTCCTGCACTCATGACACACACATGTGTCAATGGGAACACTTCAATGAGAAGTTTTACCAAGGGATATCTGTACATAAAGGAAACTGAAAAATAAACATAGGATGGGGGAAAGCTATGAATAAAAAACACTCATGCCGTTTGGCCCCAGAAATAACTGCTAGCACATGGAAAGGTGTGTATATGTGTATATAAATATGTTCATATCAGCGTATGTACATATAGATATATGTTTATATACATGCACACATTCATACACATGTACACACGCATATTCACGTAAATATATTTCACATATAAAAACACATGTACATCTATACATAGGTATATGTAATGGTTGAGGAGGCATCCAACATCTTGCAATCTGCCCTTTTGAAAATATGTTTGTCGGTTGGGCGTGGTGGTCTCTATCTGTAATCCGAACACTTTGAGAGGTAGAAACAAGAGGATTGCTTGAACCCAGGATTTCAAGACCAGCCAGGGCAATGTAAGGGAGATCCATCTCTACAAAACATTAACAAATTAGCTGGGCGTGGTGGCACCCACCTATCTGTGATCCCAGCTACTTGGGAGGCTGAGGGAGGAGGATCACTTGAGCCCTGGAGGGCAAGAGTGCGATGATATGTGATCGCACCACTGCACTCCAGCCTGGGCAACAGAGCCAGTCCCTGTCTCAAGTAAGTTAACTACTTGTGCAGTGAGCTTTTATCCTGTTATTTAGAATTCTTTGCAAATGTTTGTCAGTCACTGTATTCTCCTGGGCTAAGGGCCCACTGTGTTAACTCCATCCTCTCTGGAGTCCATCCCCTGGCCTCTGTGCTGCTCTTTGCTTTTTAACCTGCTGACTCCGGGAAATGGGTGGGGTCCTGCTGGATCCCTGTGCAAGGACAATGGTTTTGGAGGCGGTTTCTCTATGGCAGGATGCGCATCTGACGGCCTGTACTCACACTCACTCTCTCTCTCTCTCTCTCTCTCTCTCTGTCTCTGTCTCTGTCTCTCTGTCTCTGTCTCTGTCTCTCTGTCTGTCTCCTCTCGCCCCACAGTGCCAGGCTTCCCGTATCCAGCTGCCACCGCCGCGGCAGCCTACCGAGGGGCGCACCTGCGTGGCCGCGGCCGCACCGTGTACAACACCTTCAGGGCCGCGGCGCCCCCGCCCCCGATCCCGGCTTACGGCGGGTAAGTGGGGCAGCCTCCAGGGCGGGCCTCCCTGCACCAGCCCTCCCTCCCCAGAGGCACGGAGCTGTTTGCGAGTGCATGATGGTCTTGACTCCCCCCACTCCCCACCTCCCACCCCCAGAACCGCCCCCAGCATGCAGCCCCGCGCGCACCTGCAGTGGAGCACCTTGCTAAGAGTATTGAAAAATGAGTGTAATTTGTCCTGTCATGGTTAGTGCCTTTAAGCATTCTACATGTCACATGTTGTTATGTAAATTCTTTTTGAAACTGAATGCTGGAGAACAGAGAAATGGTTACAGCCAAGGATGTATTTCTGATGACTGCAAACATCTGGTTATTAAGGAGGCTGGACCACATTTGCCCCTTGAATTCCTCCACGGAAAGACGTGAGGTTTTCATACACAAAAATCACTGGGGTGGTATTGCCTCCTCCCCAGAGATATCTTAAGCTTTAAGGTTTATGAACCTTTGCCTACAAAGAGAAAATTAGGTGTGGAGTCACATGCAAAAAAGCAAGAGTTAATGAAACTGGAGTTAACATGCATGGTGGTTCCATTTTCCAAAATGGCATTTGGCTTCCTTTCTCCTCCGTGGGGAAAATGGAGATTGGTCTGTTCCCCATTGCCAACTTGCACCTTCTGTGCATGGACTTCAATACTACCAGGTGAATATCCAGGAATGGCGTCAATGCTCAGTAAGACAGATGAAAAGTGGTACTGATGTGTTGGGTGCCAGTCTTGAAATGCTAGTCCCTCTGTCCCTCTTTTAGGGATCCTGCTAGAATATTCCTGCATCTCTGTAGTTGGAGAGAGGGATGCCTCCACAGAAGTGGTCCTAGACCAGAGGACATTTGCAAGGTCTAGAGACATTTTTGGTTGTTACAACAGGAATGGAGAGATGCTGTGTCCTCTACTGGGTCAAGTCTAGGGATGTTTCTCAGTAGCCCCCAACAACAAAGACTTACCAGGCTCAAAGTCAGTCATGCTGCAGCTGACAAACCCTGCTCTATGTTAAATTTAGCGATCCCCAAAAAGGGTCTGGCAGGAGGCTTTCCTGGCCAGCGACTGATATTCTGATGTGTAGAAGAAAACAGAGCTGCATTTAAGACTGTGTGAAAAGGGTTAATGTCCTTTGTGTAGCTGTTTCTTGTAAATCCTTCAGAAAATCTAAATTAGCCTAGATCATCTATTATACTCATGACAGAAGGAGACTTTTTTCAGTGCCTGTTCATTCTAAAACAGAGCATTTGAAATGTTTCAAAAATAAACACAGTAAAACAAAGAAAGAAAGAAATGAGCCTATATAAAACTATCAGGAAGGGAAAATTAAGGAAAAGTAGTAAGACAATGTCCATCAAGTTTCCTGTGTCATCCTTAGAATTGGGTCAACTCTGAGCTTCTTGGACAAAACAAGAGATCTCTCTCTCTCTCACTCTCTCTCTCTCTCTCTCTCTCTCTATATATATATATATATATATATATATATATACTAAAAAGATGATGGATAGTAACAAACCAAGAATGAATCGGCTATAAATTCTCCCTCGTGCCTATCAAATGCATTTGCATTATATATGACCGTGCAATGTAAAGAATTATTGATATAATTTTTATTCTCTGGTCTAACAATACTGGGCCCATTTTATGGATACAGAAATGCAAAAATAAAGACTTATTATTCCCAAGATCATGTAATGGGTTACGAAGGAAAAATAACACCCCACGTTACCTCTGGGCTCCTCTAATTAGTAAGGCAAGATTCATAAGCTATAAATGCAAAATTGCACACACCACATTTGTTTGTCTGAAAATTGTTCTCAGTACATGGCAACTGAAGCTTTTTGGTATATCTACCATCAGTATCTCACTATTATATTAAACAGCAAAAGAAAGAAAAGGAAAATTACATGGCTTATCCTCACACGAACAATTTGTAAACATCTCAGAATAACACACCTGCTGTAAAATCAAAATTAGCTAACTTATAATGAACGTGCTCTTTGTTGGGAATAACCATGCATAACTAATTGGTGCCATGTTCACCAGGGAGAGACACAGGCATTTCCAAATGATCAATGTGTTTGTCACTATTTGGGATGGAAATTAATTTTAATATTCCAGCAATATCTGTGATCAGTTTGGTGATAAAGGTGGATTGTGCCTCTTTGCTGATAACTGTATGGCTGGAATTCTGAAGCCATACTTGGAAGGAAGATCAAATTCTCAACAGAGAAGTAGTTATCCCCAGAAGGATTGGGGTTGCAGGCGCTCATGTCTGCAACAATCTATTAGAGCAAGGTGCTGGTCAAAAAGAAGGAAATTCATCTGGTTGCTTCACTGGATTATAAACTGCCATGAGTGAATTGGCATGGAATGAAAAGCTTTAAACCCAGTGTTTTAAAGGTTTCTTTTCTCCTCCGGAATATAAGGCTCAGCCTGCAGGAGATCACAGAGGGATGGTTCCTCTTCAAAAGGAACACAGCAGAGTGAGACACAGGCCAAGAGCTGGCTGGAAGATTGAGGACCCCTGTCTTATGTTCAGTGAAAGCAAATAGCAAAGAGGTTGGAAGTACTCATTGTCGGGAAGTAGCATCATTAGGATTCAGGTGGTCCAGACAGTATGTGTTTCCTGTAGCCTTTTGTCTCTAAAGTCCTTTGGAGGAAAACTTCTAGGTTTGAGTGACATCTTTATCCCAGCCCCGTTCAGCTCACCCTGTGACCCTATGACTCACACCTATCATGCTTTCTGCACTGTTGTGTGCTAAAGAGACAAATGGCACCTTCAGAGCTGTTTCTTCTGATTGGGGCAGGGGGTGACATACAAGGCAACCATTTCGATAAATAGTGATAAGTGATGCAAGAGGCTATTGTGTGAGTACCAGGGAAAGGTCCTTAGCCCAACTTGGGTGTTTCAAGAAGGCATCCAAGAAGCGAAGAAATAGGGAACACATCTAAGTCCAAGTATTTCCTAAATTGCCACAGTAAAATCTTTCTGTGATCCCTCCCCTACCCTGACACCCAGCCATCGCCATCTTTTTGAAGATATCCCCTAACTGCATTTATTAAGAATGTATTGTTTCCACTGTCACCAATTGAAGGCCTATCCTGCCAGCCTGAATCTGTTCTTCCTGAAGTATCTGATATTTATCTACATCCTTACTAAAAACAGCAGTCAAAAAATGTATCCTAGGTCCAAGCATGGTTTCCCTATTTTTTTCCTTCTGGGAGACTGAAGAAAATATGCTTTCGAATCTCCATGGCTACTTTTGTGGAAGCCTGGGTGATCCTTGGAGGTATCCATTATAAAGATAGTCACATGAGAAGAGTCCCTAAGCATGCTCTTCATTTATTTCCTTTTTAAAATTTTTAATTTTTTAGACAGAACCTCACGTTGTCACCCAGGCTGGAGGGCAGTGGTGCAATCTCGAATCACTGCAACCCGTACCTCCCGGATTCAAGAAATTCTCCCGCTTCAGCCTCCCAAGTAGGTGGAATTATGGTGCCTGCCATCACATCTGGCTAATTTTTTTTATTTTTAGTAGAGATCAGGTTTCACCAGGTTGGCCAGGCTGGTTTCGAACTACTGACCTCAGGTGATACCCTTGGCTTCCCAAAGTGCTGGGATTATAGACATAAGCCATTGTGCCCAACCATTCATCCATTTCCTTTCATTGTTTTTTCCTTCCATGTCTTGGTATTTTCTGAGTATCAGCTTCCACACAGCTGAAGAACATAGGTTATGAAGAGGCCCCATTATCTTTTTCTCACATGCCTAAATAGAAACCCCTTGGGACATTACTACCTGATTCCCTCTGGGGTAGGGACAGTTGTGGGCCGTGGTAGGATCATAGGAACAAGTGGAAAACCCTAGGCCAAACCCACCAACTCCCAATTGATTGCCACCATCAACTGAATGAGACAGTGATGAACGAGAAAGTAAGGTGTACATAGCCTACGGGATTTTACAGTCTTAGGAAGGCACTGGGTTCAAGGTAAGACTGGGCCTTAGTATTCTACCCATACTGGCCTGGATAGCTTACTTAACATCTGTTGACACAGTTTCCTTAAGAGGAGAATGAGGGATGTACCTGCCCCCATAGGGTTGATAGAGGGTGAAGAAGGAAAATCCATGAAAGGTGACAGCTTGGTCCATTGTATGACATGCATTCAGTGAACTGTACCTACTGTTCTCTAGGCTGATGTACTTAGAGACTTTATTAACCACCTACACTCTTCTGAACATCCCCTTTTGCTTGTTGTCGAGTACACAAGAAGACCCCGTGTCTCTCCCTCTCTGCATCGTTTATCTTTGCTAGGGAACACTTGCAGATTCACAGACCTCCGTTTCCTTCAAGTCACAGAAACAGCTGAGGCACTTCCATTGCTTATGGAATATGTAGATTGGAAATACAGTATGAAGTAAGTAATAGTCACAGAGAGAGCAGAGTGGACGTTTTCCTTATTTCTCATTGCATTTGATCCTGGAGTCAATTTGAATGTTCAGTTTGACTGAGAAGCTACAATGCCTGGTCTAGCTTCCTATGGCTCACATTTGAGAGGAATTACCCAAGAGGTAATTGCCATTCAGAAATTTATGGTTATTTATGCATCAAGATAAAAAGTGGAAGCACTGGAGACAAACCCTATAGACTTTAGTATCTCTAAGATTAGAAAACAGCAGCTAGACCCCAATCTCCTTCCTCAAAGAGGAACTCCCTGAGTGCCTATTATGTACCAAGCATATTTCGTGGAAGTATGATGGACTGCTCTAATGGATCATCACATGTGTTACTGTTTTTGAGATGGAGTCTCACTCTGTCACCCAGGCTGAAATGCAGTGGTGTGATCTCGGCTCACTGCAACCTCCTCCTCCTAGGTTTGAGCAATTATCCTGCCTTCAGCCTCCCAAGTAGCTGGGATTATAGGCATGTGCCACCAAACCTGGCCGTGTTTTTTATTATTATTCTAAGCCTGAGCATCTAGTGTCAGCTGAGGCTTTGG